ATTAAACAACTACTTTAGTTAGCTCTTAATGGAAAACAGTACAGATAACTTATCGGAAATGCTAGATAACCAAGGTGTGAGGAGGAGGAATTGAAAGAAAATAGTATTAGTTAAAAAAGCATTAAAGAAATTACTGGGATTGAGAGCTGATAAATCCTCAGGGAAAACAGTGAATGCATTGGTTGCCAACTTCTAAAATTTTGTAGATTCTGTGACTGTCCTAGCAGATTTGAAGCATGGAAAATGTAACTCCACTATTTAAAAAAGAATGGAGCAAACAAAGAATTATACACTGTTTAGCCTAACATTATTAGTAGGGAAAATGCTTTAATATATTAAAGGTATGTGATAACAGGGAACTGAGAAAATATCAATGGGATCAGACAAAGTTAACACAGAAAGGAAAATAATGTCTGACAAACCTAGAGGAGTTTTTAAAGGACGTGACAACTGGAACAGACATGGGAGAACCAGTGAAAGTGGTGCATTTGGATTTTAAGAAAGTTTTTGAGGCTTCATGTGAGAGATTAGTGTGCAAAATTAAAGCACACGGGATTAGGAATAATAAACTGACATGGATTAAAATTGGTTAGCAGACAGGCAACAGAAAATAGAAATAAGTCAGAATTTTCTCAGCTCTTGAGCAGCATGGTAATGCTGAGAAATTTGGGAGAATGTGACAAGATTAGAAAAATTAGTTTGTGGTGTTGAAAAGAAGTCTGATTTTCTCCTCAAGGGTTCAATGCCTAGATGACATTCCAAATGGGATGCATCTCAAGGCTTTAAGCTTGCTTTCTTAGTGTTTACTCCCTCTGTACCTACTTGGACACCCTCAGCATCACTGTCTTGCCTTTTGCGCAGATAGAAATCCCGGCAACTTGTCATGCTTGCCAGTGCTAAACAGTCAATGAGGCAGACATGTTACTATGTCAATGTCACAGCTATAGCATGTGAGAATGTGCCAGCAGGTTCTGCAGTAAACACACTGCATTTGCTTCAACCTAATTGTCATATCTGAAAGTCTAAGGAAAGTAGCTTTTGGTCAAGTGAATGGAGACTACAGTCAGTTATGAGGTGTTGCCATGCTCAGTCAAGGACATTGTCTGATCTTAGTGCAGAGGGTGACCATGGTAAGTCATTTTGTTGGGGTCAGGATTGGGGATTTGCTGTCCTTCAAATCCTGGGATTGTGTAACATCCAGGCTTTCAGGCCATATCCAACTAATCAAAGGATTGCAGATAAGGCAACGGGGGACGTGTAGAGAAATTAGTCAGAGGTTTAGAACGTCCTCGGTTGACTGATGAATGATTTACTTATTGTCACTAACATTTTACAGTGAATAATACAGTAAAACACACTGAAAAGGTTCAACAGTCACCACAATCTGGCACCATTTTGAATAGTTTAAGAATAAAGAGGATAAAAGATATAACTGAAAGACAGTCCTGAGCCCTGAGGTGGTTCACCAATGGCACCTGCACTACCACCCCTCCTCCACCGCCACCTTCGCTGAACCCACCAGCATAGATGTTGCCACTCTTTCAGTGCCATCTCTTCGGCACTGGGCTCACCTCACCACCACCAATGCCAGGTCCCATACTGAACGCAAACTCACCCCATAACCAGTTGTCCTTGGCTCGATGACAGCAGGAATCCCGGCTCCAGGCATACCACGTGACCACTGCTGCAGCCTGCACCTCACCAAAGCCAGAAGTCCTCACTCTGAGCCTGATGTAACCAGGAGACCCTGGCTCCGATGCCAGACCAGGCTACCTCTGCCATCTTGACAAAAGTCTTGCTCTGGCTGCCCTCTTCCAAGATGTCGTCTTGTTGGCACTGCCGTCTTGAAAAGTCAGCTGCTGCCGCCACCTCCGATTGCTGGAGGAGCTTTGCTGCCACTGTCTCCGCCAGCCCCAAACACTGGCAGGATGTTCCTGCTGACACTGCCTCCAGTCACTGTGAGGAGCGATGTCCACCGCCATCTCTAACTGCAGGGAGGAATTGCCATTCTGCACATGGCCTACTCTAGCTGCCACCCTGACTTTGCCAACTAACTTGCCACAAAAGGCTCCAAAAAGAAAAACGAAAGAAAAAAAAAGAGAAAGAGAAGTTAAAAGAAAGCAGGAAAGAAAGAGAGAGAGAGAAAGAGAGAAAGAGAGAGAGAAAGACAGAAAGAAAGACAGAAAGACAGAAAGAAAGACAGAAAACAGATGAGCACCGGGCAAGAGCCTGCACACAGCCCTGCTACTCTGCCACCATCGTGAAAAAAGATTAGGGCTATTCTCAGGTCACTTTGGGGTGGGGTGGGGGTAGATGACCCTACCCTATCCAATCCTTCTTCAAACCTACAATTTAAGTTCTGGCAACATTCTTATAAAGCTCCTCCATACTCTTTCTACAGTAATTATGTCCTTCCTGTCATAACATGACCAGAACTGTACAGCATAGGCCTAAGCAGTGTCTTATATAGTTTCAGCATTAAATCTCTGGTCTTATATTCAATTAAGGGAAGCATCCCATTTGCCTTCTTTTACATCTTATCTACCTGTCCTGCCACCTTCAGGGAATTGTGACATGAACTCCAAGGTCTCTCACTTCTTCTAAACCTTTCAATACACTCATATTTATTGTGTATTCCCTTCATTTGTTTGTTCTCCCCAAACCATGACCTCACACTTTTCCAGACTGAATACCATTTGTCATTTTCTACGCACTCAACCAAACCAACGAGAAGGGTGCCAACGAGGTCAGACTCAATAATTATTGAGATGAGCGGCAAAAGATTGTGGCAGGAAAGTCACAATGGCTTGTGACAGGAAGCCTTATTTCAAATTGTCACAGCCAAAATATGGGAAGATTCAGTCTAATGATTCTTTTCCAGAGTGCAAGGTGATGACTAATGGGTACAGCAAGGATCAGTGGTTGGCCACAGCATTCAAATGCATAATCAATAATTTGGATGAGGGACTCAAACATTAATATTTTCAATTTTGCTGATGACACAGTGCTGGGTGGAATTAAGTGGCAGTATGGTGTTGAGACGCAGAATCAGCCATGATCATACTGAATGGCAGAGTAGGCTTAATAGGCCAAACGGTCTACTCCTGCTTCTATTTTGTACATTTCTAGGTTTTACCGAGCTCAAGATTCTCAGAATTAGATCCTCTACGGGAAAAGTTTGGCCTCTCAACAACTCAGGCAAGCATTTGGCATCCTTACTAAAGTGTTAACCACCTCCTACCTGTGTATCAGTGAGTTGTTGCCTTACTCCCACTCAGTCATTTGGACGATGTTTTCTCTTGGCAAAATTGTCTCGTACTTCTGCCAGTTAGTAGCTTGGGAGATGATTCTATGTCAGCCTTGAGAAGTTTAGCTCGGAATGACAGTAAGGCAAGATTTGTGTCTTTCTTTGTCTCTTGATTGTCTGAATATGTCTTCCTATAAATCCTGTCCCTCATGATTGTGGTGATGATGTTCATATTGTTCAGCTAACTCCTTAAATGCTTTGGAGGTGAATTGCGTTCCGTTGTGATATATCCTTCTTTCAGGAATCCCATGCTCAGCAAAAAAAAACTTGCATTGCTGCTCTGATTGTAGCTCTTAAAGCTTTCGCCTTTCTGATGAGTGGCAAGTTTCAGTAAAAGTCTGCAACTATGAGTTACTATTATTAGTTGATAGTAAATAAATTGACTCCCACAGAATGCCATGATCTAATGGGATTTCAATAGATTTCATCTCCTTCTGCATTTCTACATCTCTGGCACTGATTGTATGTAGATTGCATTCTTTCAACGTTTTGGAAATGTCTACCAAATATACAGCTAATTTGGCCTGAACTAATATTTCTCAATTCACATGTGAGCTTCTTAGATCTTCTGGAGAAGTTCTTTCTGCATCATTTTGAGTATGATGATGATGATGATGATGATGATGATTCTGGATTTGGCCAGCAGAACACTGTATTCTCGGAAGATTTTGACTCTGATCTATCAATACTTTCATATTGCTGTGTGTTTGCTTTATTTTGTTGAGCCTTTCCAGGATCACTGGCTAAGAGAGCATCCATAAATTTTCTTCATTACTGTCTCTACTTTGACTAAGTTTTGGTTGTGCAAAATGCTTCTTTACACCTAGATTTTTTTTAAAATCTTGTCTCTCTCTCTCATGTGGCAACAGCCAAGACAGGACATCTGTTAGCTCCACAATTTCCTGGCTTGCATTTGCTTGAAATTGTCACTCTGAAGATTGAAGAATTATCTCTGCAGTCTTGCAAGTGCTCTATATAAAAGTTTGTTGCAGATCTGCTCAAATAGACAATACTCGCCCTTCACAATGCACTCTCTCCCATAAAGTGTATTATGAATTTCGCAATTCCATAACCACTACCAAAAGCTCTCTTTCCATGTCAACATATCTGATCTCAGCTGAAACTACAGATTTGTTTGCAAATATTATCAGCTTACCTTCTTGTAGATCAGCAAAGAGGGGTGGGGCCTGGGAAGAGGATGGGGGTAAGAAGGAATAGGAATGGCTAGAGATGTTAGGGAAAAGAAAGGGAATGGAGGAAGCAGGAGGAAGAGTTGTATACAGGGAAGATAGGGTATGTGGAGAGGGTACAAGTGAAGATGCAAGAGGGTGGAGCTGACAGAGAGTGGAGAAACAAAAGCGAAGTCAGGAGGGTGGAAGAGGGTGTGAAGGTAAATGAGGGGCATAAGAAGAACGTCTGAAGAAGACCTGGAAACGGTTGTTACCAGGCGACATTTTTCTCTACCTAAATCATTTCGTTTTTCAAAAGCAAACCTCCCCACTTTCCCCCCGCCGACCACTGAATCTCGGGGATATGTTAGAACTTTAAAGTCTATACACATACCTCCTTCGCACCTGCAGGATGCGCTTCAGCCGATTAGCGATTCCCTCTCTCGCGAGAGTGGCCGCTCAATCCCCGAAATAAATGCAGCAAGCCTGGGTTCCGGTGGTTCTGCGCAGGCGTAAATCAATTCTCAGCAGCGGCGCCTCATGAACGTGTGCTCTTCACTTGGCAGCGCTACGCTCAATGCAATGGGCTGCTCCAAGAAGTGTCCGCGCTGCCCACCTCTCACAGCTGCCAATTCGGCGCCGCAACAAAGATTCAAGAGGGCAGGTGAGCGCGGAGCAGTTATTTCTTTCTTCTTGCTGTTTGAGCGTGCCGGTCTGGCGATGGCAGAACGGGGGTTAGAGGTGTTTGACAACTGATCATCTTCATCCTCGTCATCGTCGGAGAACGGCTCCGCTCTTGTACGCCGGTTGGGAGAAAGTGAGACTGATCGGAGGAGAGAAGGGGTGGGGGCAGCTTTGTGAGATGGTACGGGGGTGGGGGGGGCGGGGGGGGGGGTAGCAAGGAGGGGGGGGGGGTGGTGGGGGGGGGGGGGGGGGGTGAGAGCGAGCGGCCAAGGGTGGCAGGGGCTGGGGACGCATTCGAGCTAATTGTCCGGCCTATTCGCTGAAGCAGAGAGGGCAGCGCGAGCTGGATGTGGCGGTTGGCTGAAGCCACGGGGGGAAAGCGCGAGCCCGAGAGGGAGAGGTGGTTGGGTTTGTTGGGGGGCGGTGGTGTTGCTGGTGATTGCTGTTTGCGCGAGCCGGTTGCAGGAGGGCTGCAGCAACAGCGAAGGCGGCCCACCGGCTGGGGCTGGGGGAGATCGCTGTCAGGGATGAAAGCGGGAGCCCGTCCAAGTTCTCCGATCCGTAGCTGTAGCAGTTGCGGTTTGGGGAAGGGTTAAGATGCGGAGAGAGGGAGGCGAGGCTGTCAGCAAACAGTCGGGTGGAATGGTTTCTTTCCATAAAATTCATATAATAAGCGCGCATCTACACAGACATATGAAAAGACCTGAAAGCTGCTGTCAGTTTGCACTCCTACTCCGCAATCCTTTTGAGCCTCGAGTGTTTCCATGTCTATCATGGACTTGTTGTTTCATCTAATATGTCTATGTGTATCTATGTATGTGGACCCGTCTCTCCCTGCAACGAAAGGAAGCTGTCCAGAATTAATAATAACTATGAATCTGGATGCCTTTCACTGCTGTTGCCGGCTTCAATGGGCACCAAGTCGGTATCCATAAGGAGAGAAATTGTAAATGCATTTCCTTTCATTGAATACTTTCCCCCTGAATGCTTTCGTCATGTCAGAGACCAGATGCAAAGTTTAATGGGTTTCCTTCTCCGGTTGAATGTCAAGAAAGACGAGAATT